TAGAGTATTACTTCCAGCAACTTCAGAAAGCGTTCTTTTCCAGTGCTTGCAGCATGTTCACCAACATAGAACATAGGCTGCACCATAAAACAAGTCTCAATGAATATCAAAATCAAAATCATATGGAGCATATGCTCTGGCCACAGTAGTATTTAATTAGAAATGCATAATAATCAGATATCTAGAAAATCCCCAACTTTAGAAAACAAGCAACATGCTTCTGATTAACACTTGGGTCAAAGAAGAAATCACAAGGAAATATTTTAAACATCATTAACTGAATGATGACAGCCCCGCATTAAAATATTTGATACAGCTAACATAGTGTTTAGAGAGAAACTTACGACTTTAAATGCTTATAGTTTGAAATGAGCAAAGTAGTAAAGTCAATTACTTATGGTTTTGTTCTAAGAATCCTGAAAAGGAAGAGGAAAATAAATCCAAAGTTAATACATGTCAGCAAATAATAAAAACAATGAAAATCATGAAATAGAAAAATGAACAAACAATAGAGACAATCAATGGTCAATTTTTTTGTACTCTCCGTGCACAATATCTATGAGGTAAATTGGGGGAAGGACAGAGAGTTAATGGGGAACAGGCAGAAAAATCTTTCTGGAGTGAAGGAAATAATCTATATCTTCTTTGGGGTGATATTTAAGTGGGCAAATATGACTGTCAAGGTTCATTGACACTGAACGCTTCAGATCTGGGCATCGTAATGCATATAAATTACATCTCGATTTTTCAAAATAGAGGAAAGTGTCTCGGGGAGTTTATGGTAGTGATATTTGGGCAGTTCTGTGGCATAGGCTTCAAAAGCACTTCCAGCATCTTCCGTTCCAGAATCGGCTGAGAATGGTTTTTCAGACAAAAATGTAGGATAACCTCACTAGTGGGTCCCTGTCTCTCTAGACTGCCTGTCTCAGGCAATGGGTCAGGGCCAGGATCCAGGCCCCGGACATCCCATTTAGTATTTTAAATATAAATAATAGAGTTTCTTTGATATGGTGCTAGAGACCCAAAATCATAATTCCTGGTTATGTATAGAATTAAATTAAAATATTTTCCTCTTATATCCAACTCTTGACAACAACCCTACTCTCCTTAAGAAATTTGATGAGTTTCCCATGGCTCTAGCAATGCTTATATTTCAGGCACACCTGACAACTCCTTGCTCAGATTACTTTTCTGGAATGAGACGAAGTAGAAACAAATATTTGCTCCCTCCCAATCAACTGCTACACATGCTGAATTATGAGTCTTTGTTTATTTGTTCCTTTTATGGAATGTACACCCTCCACTCTAACACTCCAACTCTAACCATCCTTGAACACCTATGAAACATCATCTTTATCAGAAAACTTCCCAGAAGCCTTTGCAATGACCTGACTCATGTTCATGCAAAGCTCCAGAACAAGACCAAGCTGACGGTTGTAGAAGGAGACATTCTGGATGAGTCATGCCTTAAGAGAGCCTACTAGGACATCACGGTTGTCATCCACACTGCCTCTATCACTGACGTCTTCATTGTCACTCACAGGCTGTCACGAACGTCAATGTGAAAGGTAGAGTAGCCTGGGGAAGAGATGGAGCAATGTGGAAAAAATGAGAATCAGAAAAAAGAACAGGATGGAAACAGAAGTTTCTACACTGAACACCTGCTGTCCTCTGAGCAAAGTGCCTTTGTGGATCACTACCAACTAAGGAATTCAAGACTGCCCACCTTAGTTTTGTTTTTTGAGACGGAGTCTTGCTCTGTCACCAGACTAGAGTGCAGTGGCGCAATCTCGGCTCACAGCAACCACTGCCTCCTGGGTTCAAGCGGTTCTTCTGCCTCAGCCTCCGGAGTAGCTGGGACTACAGGTGCGCACCACCATACCCTGCTAATTTTTTTGTATTTTTAGTAGACACAGTGTTTCACTGTGTTGGCCAGGATGGTCTCGATCTCTTGACCTCGTGATCTGCCCACCTCAGCCTCCCAAAGTGCTGGGATTACAGGCATGAGCCACCATGCCCGGCCTAGTTTTTTAGATGAGAAAACTAGGGCTGAGAGATGGCAAGGAACTTGTCCAAGTCCCCACAGGTAAGGAAGTAACTAGGAGAGTTAGACTTTAAACTCACTCCTGTGTGACTCCAAAGGCTGTGGATGCTCTTTCTGATGTGGCTCCAATAAAGAGAAACTAAACTCCAACTTCAGACTCTTGATATCAAGTCACCGCTTGCCTCCCAGTGCAAAACTCAGACCTTCCAGGTGCCACCACAGTCATCATGTTGAACCTTGTGTGCAGGCTGATGAGAACATTCAGAGTCCTCCTGCCCATCTGAAAGATGAAGTCCTCTGGGGAGAACTGGCACAGCTGGTTCACAGAGGTCTGTCAGGACAGAGTCACCCAGCACACGCCTTCCCACAGTAGTTTCTGAACAATGAGAGTTTCCCAGGACACAGAATACGATCTCTCCAGCTCACCACAGGGCCTGTGATTACAGAGCCATTTCCAACCAGGTGCCCAAAGTCCAACCTCACTCCACCCTCACCTCTCAAATATTTGATGGTCTTTGAGAATTGTGGCTTTCCAAACCACTTTAAATTCAGAGACACTGGCTTAAGGAATCTTGCCGTGCAGTCTCACGCTCTGATTCCCAGAGCCCAGCCTCTTCAGCACCACAGTACCCCAAGCTCTGACCTGTCCCTCCACATTCAGTCTACTTGAACACCTTTTCTAAAGCAACTAAATGCTTTTGGGTCTCCAGCACCATCTCAAAAAAAAAAAAAAAAAAAAAAAAAAAAAGTCCTTTCCAGTTTCTGCTTGCCCATAACCTCTAAGTACCCCTACAGTGCAAAGTAACAAGTTTTTCATTTCAATTCTTACTCTCCACAGCTCCCAACAACAGGGGATATGAAATGACAGGGAAGTGTCAGAGGCATCTGTTTCCTAAAACCGTTATCACTCACAGGCTTGGAAAATACTTCACAATCTTGGTCAATTTCCCCTTGAAGGTAAACTAACTCCATATTTTGTCTGCCACTAGATTAATTTTTGAAAAGATGCGGCTGTCTCTCCAGAAATGCAAATTGCACAGCGACTTTATAAAAGGCCAAGAATACAAAATAAGTAAATAAAAATGATCCTCTGCCCAGGAAATCCCTTCCTTCTTCAAGGGAAGGCAGTCTGGACACCTCCAGGAGCTTCGCTTCCACACAGCTCAGAGGACGCTGCAAAGGTCCTCCCAGTACAGGTGTTACCAGCAGAGGGCGCACTCCCTCCCAGTCCTCAACAAGGCTCCACGTGAAATGTCAGAGCAGGATTTGGAATACTAAGTAGAAAGAAGGTTTATCACCCTGCCCTTTACATAACTGGGTAAACAGGGTCACGGCCAGAATTGGAAGCAGCTTGCCCAGGGAACACACAATCAGAAAAAGTGTGTAGGTATACAGAATCTCCCCAAACCCACTGTTTGTTCACTGACTCCTGGGATGGTCCTTGAGAAAATGTTTTATTAGTCTTCAACAAAACGAGAAAAATACCAGCAATTGCATGTGTTAAGAGTGTATATTGCCTATATACAACTGTGAATGTGTGTGTGTGTTGTGAATTCCTCCACTGCCCCTTTTGTACCTAAAGACTGGGACTGTCCATATATTCTCAGAGTATAGGCCCTTGATTTTTTAGATTTTGAGTGATCTGTCTTTAATGGTATCAATAAAAAATCATAATTTTTCAATTCCCTCCCTTCCTTCTTTCCCCTTCCTTCCTTCCCCTCCCTTCCTTCCTTCTTTCCTTCCTTTCTTTCTTCCTTTCTTCCTTCTTTTTCTCCTTCCTTCCTCCTTTACTTGGCAAAATATAAAGTGATAACCCAAGGTCTTTTTCTAAAATTAAAGTATACACACACACACACACGCAAGTCCACAAAACCCAAAAGCCTAGAAATTCTTCCTCTGTAGAACCCAAATATTCATTTATTTTTATGTTTATGTTTTCCCCATGGCTATAGCATGGCTCAATCTTGGCCAGAGCCACAGAAGAATGCACCCCAAGTGTGTTATAAGCACTGCACTTGGAAGTGGGAAGTGGGGCACGTGGATTTATGCATGTGGTTGGGGCCCCTTAGGGGTATTTCCTGACACTGACAGCTTGCTCTTCATGGGCAGATAATGAAGTCCTGTTGGGAACCTGTGTCCAAGCCAGTGTGCCTGGCTTCATCCACACCAGCATCATGCAGGTAGCTGGGCCCAACTCCTACAATGAGATCATCCAGAATGGCCACCAACAAGACTCTTTGGAAGGCACATGGTCTGCTCCATACCCATACAGCAAAAAGCTTGCTGAGAAGGCTGTGCTGACAGCTAATGGGTGGACTCTGAAAAACAGTGGTACTTTGTACACTTGTGCCTTAAGGCCCATGTATATCTATGGGGAATGAAGCCCAATCCTTTCCGCCATTATAAATAAGGCCCCATTACAATGGGATCCTGCCAAGTGTCAGCAAGTTCTCCACAGTCGACACAGTGTATATTGCAATGTGGCCTGAGCCCACATTCTGGTCTTGTGGGCCCTACTAGACCCCAGGAAGGCCACAAGAATCCGAGGACAGTTCTATTACATCTCAGACGACACACCTCACCAAAGCTATGATGGCCTTAATTACACCCTGAGCAAAGAGTTCAGCCACCGCTTTGATTCCAGCTGGAGCCTTCCTTTATTCCTGAAGTACTGGATGGGCTTCCTGCTGGAAGTGGTGAGCTTCCTGCTCAGCCCAATTTACACCTATTGACCCCCCTTCAACCATCACACAGTGACGTAGTCAAATAGCGTGTTCACCTTCTCTTACAAGAAGGCTCAGCGAGATCCGGCGTATAAGCCGCTCTACAGCTGGGAGGAAGCCAGGCAGGAAATCATGGAGTGAGTTGGTTCTCTTGAGGACCAGCACAAGGAGACCCTGACGTCTAACACTCAGTGATTTAAGGATGAAAGACAAGTGCATGTGGGTATTGTTAGGTGATGTCATCAAGCTCCACTTTCCTGGCTTCATACAGAAGGTGAAAAAGACACAAACCCAGGTCCTACTGCCTCCCTTTCACACAATGGCCAAATTATTGTCTTCCTCTGGTCATCAAAAACTGTGCAGTCACTGGTCCAGCCAGAAGCTTTCTGTCCTAACCATATACCAGAGGACGGACAACGGGATTTGCAGTTACCAAATATCAGTGGCTAATTCTCAACAATTTGGGGTCTCTTTTAACTTGAGGTCTCTTGACTACTAGAGCTTCATTTCCCCTATTAAATGAGAAAGAATTTCTTTTTTTTAATCTCCTATTTCTTCACACAGTTCAATGAAGTGAACAATAGATGTTTTAATGTTTAACCTGGAGGGAGACATGGGTTATGTTATTACATACTTTCTTCCTTTCCCTTTCATTTTCATATACTGTCATCTCCAATTTAGAAGAGTACCATGAATCAGGGTTTGGGGGGTGAGCAGAGCAGTGGGGAGATCAGGAAGGGTGAAAACTGAACAAGCTCTACTAAGTCTCAGGCATGTATAAAATGACCTACCTGTGTCATATATTACCTCATGTAATACTCATCAGAAACCTCTGAGGTGGGACGACTATTTCCATCTTATCAGTGGGGAAACTTGTTCACATAATTTAGAGTTAGTCACTAATATTTAGAAATCAAGAGATTTCACATAATGTGCAGAGGGCCACAGAAAAGGAGAGTGCTTCCGGAGAATTCATTTCCCTGGGATTTATGGGGTCCTCGGGCTTGGGCTGGATAGCAAACAATGGGTAGGATTTCAACACACAGGAATGCGAGTGAAAGTATTCCAGGCAGAGGCAGTGCAGTCTGCAAAGACCGAGGTGGGAAACAGGTCAGTTTTTGGCAACAATGAGACCAGACCAGAAAGCCCAAGGTCAGGGGAGAGGTGGAAGATAAGACCAGGATCACTCGGGGTCACCCCTGGAGAAACCCTGCCTGCTTCTTTCATTGCCCTCAGAGTAGTTACTTTACACATAACAAGCCTCATCTTCTCCCAAAAATTGGACTCTAAGGGTAAAGAACCTCTCCTCTAGCAATGAATATTGACGGTGAAGCTAAAAGCTGGGTGTCATTCACTGTGCAATGGGAATTGTTCAGCTGTCCCTGGAAGATGAGCAGTTTGTAAGATGGACTGAAAGAGAGGAGGAGGATACTTCGAGAATCTAGGTGAGAAACGAAGGCCTGATTTCTGTGTCGATAACAAAATGGAATACAGGGGCAACTGAGGCAGGCCTGAGGCAGAGCGGCCGCTAGTTTAGACAGGACTGGGTGTGGACACGGAACTCCCAGGCACCCACTGTCTCAAGCCAGAAACCCGGATGGCAGCCCCACACCCCTCCCACCTATCAGTGAGAGCTACCAACTTTACTCCACACACCTCTTGAACATGTCCTCTTCCTCCCTGGTGACTTCATTCCTTCCTTCACCTGCCACAGGCCTCCCTGTCTTGGAGGGTCCCCCATGAAACCTATCCACAGCAGTGTCACCAGAGCTGTCTCCCCAAACTCCTCTCACCTCATCACTCCCGTCCTTCAAACCAGCCGCTGGGTGGAGCCCCAGGACTGTCAGGATGAGCCTGAGACCTTCGCAGCACACACGGGGCCCCTGAAGCCCTGGGCCCTGCCTGGCTCTCCAGACCAATTCTCACCAATCCCTGCCCTGTCCCCAGATGCTTCCACTCTGTGCCTCAACGACTTTCCAAAACTCAGGGCTTCCGCCTGCAGCATGCTTTTACATCCACCAGGCTGGGGCACGGCGTTCCTTCTGCTTAGAGGGCGCTCAGTTCCCCTGCCAGCACCTCCTTCCCAGCTCCTTATTCACCATCCGAAGCCTCCCATTTTACTGCCTCCATGCCTTGTGCATATCTAGTTGCACTGCTTTTAATATTTCATTTATATTTCCTGTTCCCCACCCCTACATTGCCATATCCTGAGGACAGTAACTCACCATGTCATCTTTTTGTCCTCAGTGTCTGATGCAAAATAGACACATGGGCTGATGAGGGAGAGAGGGCTGAATGGGTGGGTGGATGGATGGATGGATGGTTGGATGGATGGATGGTTGGTTGGATGGATGGATGGTTGGATGGATGGATGGATAGATGGATGCACGGATGGATGGATGGATGGATGGATGGATGGATGGATAGATGGATGGATGGATGCACAGATGAATGGATGGATATAGATGGATGGATGGATGGATGGATGGATGGATGAAACACAAGCAAACTCAACTGCTAGGATGGAAAGAGGAGGGGATGGGGAGTCAGGGAGCAGAATGCTTTGAATGACAAAGCAAGAGAGAATTCACAGATAACTTTTTAAGGTGTCCATGAACCTGAAGAAGCTGGATCATCATGAAGAGAGCTGGGAGAAAGAGAAAGTGCATGGGGGGGCGGGGGTGAGGGACTGAGAATGCACTCATTTGTGTGATATGAAGAGTGAATGCGGGAGTGAGAGGCCTCTGAGCAGGGACAGGGAAAGGCTGATGAAGGCAAAGCCCAGATGCCACAGTTACAAAAGGACTGGGAATTAGATCCAAAACCTGAAATGGTGCAAGGCCTAGAGCACTTTTATACTATAAAAAAAAGAAAATCCGCTTTTAAAAATTAAATTCAGAAGACAGTCTCCCACTCTTAGGTGACACAGGTGAGGATCACTCAACTTCTCTGGCTACATGTGCTTCTTAAGACATCAGGGGACTCTGGTGGAAATGTGGAGGGAATTCTTTTCCTTTATCATGGCTAAAGACCCAACCCAAGGCTAATGAGCAGGGGATGGAGTCGGTGTTCTGAGGCATGAGAGGTTCATTATGAGGAAGTGGAGGGAGAAGGCTGGGTGAACAGAATAAAGTGACTTGGCCACTCTGTCCCCAAAGGCAGGGGTGCTAGGGTCATTTGCAGACTCCAAAACAGTCAGGAATCTGTTCTGGAAACCTGAAGCTCTCTACTGAACAGCATAATCTTTCCTCAAGAAACGGAAGAACCAGCACTAGCGAGGTCAGCCCTTCTTGCCTTTCTTCCCAAACAGGTACTGGCGACAGAGGGGTACGTGTGAGGTGGGCTGTGGGACTACTGTCATCCTAGAATGAATCCTGGCCACTAAGGTAGAAAACCCTTCTTGTGATCCCGGCCCTAACTCCCTCATGCATCAGCTGGAGTCTGTCAAATCCCTGGTGTAGCTCTGAGCAGGGCAGTTTCATGGGCACATGGCCCGTGCCGTCACACAGGGCTTAAGGGGCTGCCATGGGACCTCACATTTCATTTTGTACCGATTCCTGTAAAATACGCAGGCAGTCCTGATTATGAGAACTTCTCTCAGCAGGAGGCAAAACAGCTATTGCTGACCTATGGCAGGTAAATGGAAAAGGCTCCCTGGCTCCTCCAGGGCAGATCAATGTCTTTGTGGAGTTCAGATTTTAAAGCTAAAGAGAGCTTCATCAGGCACGGTGGGGTGCACCTGTAGTCCCAGCTACTGGGAGACGGAGGTGGGAGGATCACTTGAATCCAGAAGTTCAAGGCCAGACAAGTCCTCATCTCTAAAATTGTTATTAATTTGAAGTTAAAGAAGGATCTAGAGACCTTTACTCCACCTTTTAACGGAGGGCTCCTTTTCTTCTTTCATTTTCCCAGTGAGAAAACTGAGGCCTAATGGTGACCTAGTATTTGCTACCTTTAAAGTGAAAGTGAGGGTGAAGGCATAGAGAACTAGAGGTCGCCCTACCAACATCTTTATGAAGAGGGAAAAAGACTGGGATGGAGACATTTGAAAGGAGGGCAGGGGACAGGTTTAACCAGAAGTCAGCTAAGCATTTGTCTTGCCCATACAGCCCAACCTCCCATCTGAACATCCACCTGCGGGATGCAGGTTCTGCATGAATGGAGACAGGCAGGTCCCTCACGGTATAGAAATAAAAGTAGGTGGGGGTGAGAGGGACTGAGGAAAGGGAGAGAGAAGGGCAAAAAGAAGCAAGTATTCTTTCATTTTAGAAACAGAATATTTCTGCAAATGAGAGTGAAAGCTGCAAATCCTGGGTGCTCATTTCAATTTTGCAATTGAAGTTAAGCAAAACTCCTCACCATTCTGTGTCTGTTCCCTTTTCGGCAAAATGAAGGTTATGGCCATTTCTACGGTCTGTTGCCAGTGACATTGGGCTATAAAAGTGTAAGATGATTTGCATCTTCTGGCACCTGCATACTTTTGCAGCTAAACTTTATAATAACATAAGTCGCTATGTGCTTATTTGTTTGTGTGAAGCCAAAGCTCTTTGAGAAAGTGGTTTCCCAGCCCTTCCCGGGCTCTGGCACTTGGCATCTGGCACCTTGCTGGGAAGCTGACATACCTATCATAGGATTGCAAAGGATCAAGAAATAGGAATGGATTCCCTCCCTCCTGATATCTAGTGACCACTAAACTGAGAATTTAGAGCTGACTTAAATATGGCCTTTTGTCTTTGCATTAAGCCACAGATGTTTCCTAAGTAGGTTTTAAAACTCTTAGACAATCACTAGACATTAAAATGGGCAGAGCCAACACAGACAGTGCCTACTGAAGAGGAAACAGAAACCCAGAAAAGTCAGTGCCTTGCTCAAGACCACGGCCAGCTAATGCCAAAGCTCTGCCCTGCACACTCCCCACACAGCTCACCCTCAAAGGGAAAGCAGAACGGGTTCCTTCTTTCTTCCTGTTCTCAGGAAAGGGAGGCCATGCCCTCTCTCCCCCTCGTCACCCTGCCCCAGGAGCTGGAAACCCCAGAGGACACAGTCCACATGCACAGCAACTGCCTCCCTCCTCCCAGGCTCCCAGGGGCTATGATACAGGACTTTAGGACGCCCTCAGCAGCCCCTTCTCTGCAGCACCGGGAACAGCCATCCGGTAACCACCGTGCCTCCTAACACGCGCACAAGCGCCTGAATCTTAAAACGCCTCATGTTTGTCGTTTTGTTTGATTTCCCACACCTCACGCCTGCATCTTTCCACTGCACAGATGTGGCCAAGATCAAGAACATCTATAGCGCCTGGTCTAGGCTGCAGCCACACTAAACAGTGGCTGTGTCAGTCCAGTGAGTCTCAGGCTGTGAAGTCGTATCAGTGATTTCTACCAAATCCATCAACTTCAACGCAGAAAGTAGCAGAACTACTTCACCTGAAACCTCGAGATGATACTCGCTTCAGACGCTCGCTAATGCTTCACTTAACAAGAGAAATGTCTAGCCAGATCCTTTTCCAGCCCCTTGACAAAGTGAGCTAGATTTTCCAAGGTCACACGTTGTCCCTTCTCTCACCCAACAAAGCCAGCTAAAGTAGACATTGCCTGATTTGCA